GACTAGAGAAATCAAACGAAAAAAGATGAATGTCCGTAAAATAAAAAAAGAAATGAAAAATAATTGATGGAGCAAATGAAAAGAAATTAAATAGGGGGTAAATAAGGAATGTAACCATAAATCAAAAGATTAGAGAAAGGAAAGAGAAATGAATGCAGGGAGAAGAGAATATGAAAAGAGAGAAGGAAAGGAGCATTAATTCTAGTGAGAAGAATGAAAGAATGAAAGGGACGAAAACCGTTAATTTTAAGCGAATGTTTATTTATTCATTTTGATTGGAATTTTCTTTAAGGGCATGCAGGTGAATATCGTCTACCGATAATAACCGAGCGCCACAATCTATATGGACAATCAGGCTTGATAAAAACCCCAAATTACCCAGCACTAGTCTCAAGTGCTATGCCGAAAGAGTTCATTTGGACAATCACTGTACCTTCAGGACATCGTATCAATATTCAATTCATTCACTTGAACATTGCATGTGCTGTCGCCCAATTATATTATGGAAAAGACTATTCCAGAACTCATTGCGGAGACGATGTGGTCGCTTCTTTCGTAATACCTGAGCGCCGGACATCGATAAAGTTAACCTGTCGTTTATCAGGCTCGTGTGGCCATTTTCTTGCAATGTACGAAGCCTTCGAAACATCAAGTAAGGGAATTGTAACTGACGCTGTATTTTTTACGCTTTTTTCACCATTTGAGAGCATGATTTTATTTGTTTTCCTAAGACCGTAGAAATGACAAGAGTATAATTGGTAGCAGACCGAAGTAGATCAGAGTGGACGAACTAAATCTAAGAAACATACTTTACTTCTAAATGGTGTTGCTTAGAGATCCATAGGAAACAAATTAAAGAATTAGCATAATTTAGTAATATTATTTTGTACTATTTAAGTTTCACGGATAAAGTGCGTCGAGTCTAACAATCATAGCTAATTTAACAAACATGAAAGGATAGAGTGATCGCACTTAAAGCGTGCAACTGTACAAAACCTATAGTAGTACTAATTTGTACCTAAAAGTGGACCTGAAGCAAGACGGTATTGAATGCTTCATTTGTATCAATTTAATTTAATTTGTTTACCGCATGCACGAATAAGATCTTACTCTTTAATTGTGATTATTATTATCTATTTACAGTACCACAATCTGTCTGCGAATCATCCAATTCTTTCATTTTCAATGGAAATTGTTATCAAATAAACAAATCACCAATGTTTTCCTGGAAATCTGCCGAGAGCCAATGCAAGAATATCAACTACGACCTGATAACAATAACAAGTTACGAAGAGAATGAAATCATTGCTGCTAAGCTAAACGGGACATCGGCTTGGATTGGACTTATAAGGAACGCCAACACCAAAGGAAYGTTTYTATGGAAAAATGGKACTTCTGTTGTCATGACAAACTGGGTCTCTGGTAAGCCTAATGGCTTTGCGGGGAAGAACTGTACTGTTCTGAAGTCGAACGCGACGTGGGTGAATACTAACTGCAATGATACAGAAGCTGGATATATTTGTAAAAAAGGTATTTTAAAATATTAAAATATTTCTCCTTGGTAGACACCTTGTCTGTATTTTGATTAATTTAGCTTCATCTTAAATAAGCTAATATATGTATAGTTTAAAACACGAGAGAGCGAAGGCGAGATTCTTTATACCTGATAAAACACGATCTCGAGTGTTTTAAACGGCTTCAAAAACTACAACACTAATTCGAAACTCAAATCCGTTAAAATTCTTGGAGAAATTGCCGTACAAATGTTTTCAGAGATAAATGGGGCAAACTGATCATGCGCGAATCACTTTACAAAGCACTGTTGTCATCCCACATTGAATACGCATAAAGTAAAATAGAAGCGCTCTTGGCTGTTCACTGAAATCGGTTGACATCCTGCATTGGTCAATGATCAGGTTTCAAACCTGAGACTTTGCTAGGGTCATGGACCTTTATATCTGATAAAGGTCACCCTTATTAGTATTCTTAATAAGGAGTGTTTTATCAGATATAAAGGTCCATGCATGTGACCAAATAGGCTCATTTTATTGGCCTAGTAGCTCATTAATTATGTATGAGTTTTTGAAGCTAATATAAAATAGCTGCGCCCATCGAAGTCTTTTCAGGCTATTAAAAAGTCTCTCTGTTTTGTCTCCATAATCTTTTTTTTTTCTTTTTTTTTACTTTTTTTTAATTTTGTATTAAAATTCAAGATCGATGTTTCAATGTTGTATTTAAAAAAATTTAACATCGATATAAACTGTAATTATTGAAACCATTGCAGCAATTAATCCGTTACCAAGCACGTGCAAAGATTCTTTTGGGATTCAAAATGGTGGAATATGGGACAATCTTCTCTHTGCTTCATCGTCGAATGCGAAGCATGCGAAACTACACGGTCCTCAAAGCTGGAGACCGGATAATTTGGATGTCGAYGGCCTGTGGCTTCAGGTAAGAGATTTAATTGCGCGTTTCTGTGAGCTATCAGGCTATCTTTAGTTTGTTTGTGTTGTTTTCTGCTTTAGCGATAGGCCTTGTTCTCTGTCCCWCAGCTTCGAATAATAATATACTGAGGATATTTGAACAGTCCTTACTTCCTTCGCTTTCTCAAAATATAATAGTTATATCTATACTCAATTTTTCATGTTTTCAATTTCACAATCACACCAACAGATAATGATGCCCAACAAGACTTTGGCGAATATTAGKGGCATTGCCACTCAAGGAGATCCCAATAATGCCGGCAATTTTGTTAAAACCTTTACGTTATCATTCAGCCAAATGGAGGACGATTTGATACCGTACCGGAACTCGTACTGGATTGAACAGGTTTGATCTACTACTCCTTCTCAAATCGACATGATATCATTACACAGATAATGACAAAATTTTACCAACTTTGGCTTCTAATTTAG